GGGAGCAGCCACTGCACTCCAGTCTGGGCAACAGTGAGACTCCAAGTCAAAAAAAAAAGCCAGCTGGGCGCAGTGGCTCACACCTATAATCCCAGCACTTTGGAAGGCCAAGGTGAGAGGCTTGCCTGAGTTCAAGACCAGCCTGGGCAACTTGGTGAGCCTTCATCTCTACAATCAATTTAAAAAATAGCCAAGGGTAGTGATGTGTGCCTGTAGTTCCAGCTACTTGGAAGGCTGAGGCCAAAGGATTATCTGAGCCCAGCAGGTCGAGGCTGTGGTGGCCGGGAGCGTGCCACTGCACTCTAGCCTGGGTGACAGAGTGAGACTCTGACTCAAAAACAAAACAAAACAAAAAGAAGGCCTAGGTGGAAACATGAGACCAGGATACACCCTCCCGGCAGGGAAAGCACTCCCTAAACTTGTCTTCTGACCCCCAGTCTCTCTCACCCTGCTGGATTCGCTTTTCTCAAATTTCTTCAGGTGCTTCTCATCCGCAAAGCTGTCCACAGGTGCATAGGTCGGAATTTGCCACCTGGGGCTCAAGGCCTTCTAACTCAACCTTCCTTCTCGGCTTCCTCACAACCCAACTCTGGATAGAACAGAAGGTCCATCCATCCCCTACCAGCGGTTTGCCCCTGCTTTCCCCCGACCCCTGCCCTGTCTTCCTCTTCTCCTAGTTCTTGCTGAAGTCACCTGCTGTTGGTGAAGCCCAACACCCTCAGGCCTGCAAGCCCGTGGAAGCCGTCCTTTCCATACCTGAGCACTCCCTTGCTCAACCCAGGAGGCCTGTGCAGCAGCCATGGCGGTCCTGCCCACCAACTCTGGAAACTGAGGGCACTTCACACAGGAGCTGGCACAGAGACGGGGTGGATCTGAGCCCCACCCAATTTACTTGTCCGATGGTCTGGGACAAGCCCACCACCGCCTGCCAGAGGGAGGCCTGGAGTGGATGGGAAGCAGAGGTTAGCAGGCAGGAACTTGTGTTGGACTGTGAAGTGTTTTGCCCTTTGGAAGAACCGACATTCGCTGGAGCACCTTGCAGCGCTGTGCCCACTCACCGCTGAGTAATTTGACACTGGACAAGAAGTTAATTTTTTAATTGGGAAACCAATGTAACAAACCTAGACTTTTTGCAAATGAAATCAGCAACTAGACTCTGCAGGCCCCACCCCATCCAGCACCACCTCTGCCGGGCCAGACCCCAGCTCCTCGCCTCCCAGAACGGACTGCCATGTGAAGAAGCTGGCATGGACCTCAGGGCCGCTTTCCCACACGGCAACCCTTCACCCCACCCACGGCTGACACGTACACCCTGGATCAGCAGGCTAGGCCCAGGCAGAGAGAGAGAGAACAGTAGGTCCCCAGGGCGGCAGGGGAGCCCAGCCACAGCCCAGCCTGCTCAAAATCCAGGCCAGCAAAGGAAGACGGAAGACAGACCGCTGGCCCACCCACTGCCCCCTCCTCCCCCCAGACAGCAGCCTGCATCCCTGATCAGTAACACTGTGACTCTGAGGTGCCCACGGGGCTCCCAGGGCTTCATCAGCCCCTGGGCGACCGCTGCGAAGAGCCCAGGGGTCGGGGGAGGGGCAGGCACTTGCTCACCCCTGCTCAGCATCAGCCAGCTAAGCCGCTGCCCTCAGCTTGTGCCTGAGGGGGCCTGCAGCCCCTCCCCTCCAGAACACCTAGGGCTGGAAACCAGTCCTCCGGCCAGAGAGAAGTCAGTTCCAGGAGGCGCCTTCTCCCAGCCAGGAGGAAGATGGGCCATGAGGCCTGAGCGGCTACACAAGCTTCTTGGCTTCGAAGAAGCTCTTCAGGTGCCGCATCTGCCAGACGCCGATGGCCACGAGGATGAGGGTCTGCAGGATGGACCACCACAGCACCCGCTGGTTGGTGCTCTCGCTGGTCTGCCGGAAGCGCTCCTCTCGCCACTGTGGGGAAGACAGGAGGGGGCCCGAGTTGCCGGGCCCAAGAACGGCTGTGCTCCCGGCCCTAGAGGATGCTCCAGGGCCGCCAGTGCAGCCCAGTTCCAGCCAAGCACCTGCAGGGTCACTCTCCCTGGGGGCCGTCCTCACCCTCACCAGCCAGATGACCCCAGGCAAGCTACTCGCTTCTAAGTCTGCGTCCCCATCTGTCAGGTACAGTCCCACCCTGGTGCCTAGGAGAGAGGTAAGGTTGTTGTGTTGCTCCCACAGGACAGTGCTGTCCTGCAGTGCTCACGAATGGACCTGCTCCAAGCCCTGTCCAGGTCTCCTAAACTGCTCCTTGAAGACTTTGGGCATATACTGCAAATGGGTGGCCTAGGTGCTGTATCTGGCCTTTATGTGTGTTCTGTTTGGTTCCTACAGTGTTTTGCCAACATTTATTTTCAGTTGGAGTCTCACTCCATCACCCAGGCTGCAGTGCAGTGGCACACTCATGGCCACCCCAGCATCAACCTGTTGGGTTCTGGCGATCCTTCTGTCTCAGCGTTCCAAGTAGCCGAAACTACAGGCGCACGCTACTAGGCCCAGCTAATTTTTTATTTGTTGTAGAGACAAGGTTTCGCCAGGTTGCTTGGGCTGGTCTTGAAGCTACGGGCTCAGGCAATCCACTTGTCTCAGCCTCCCAAAGTGCTGGGATTACAGGCTGAGCCACCGAGTCTGGCCTGTCAACATTTAAAACCCAGGAAAGCTTCACATAAAAAACCTGGCCTAGCCGGGCTCGGTGGCTCAGCCTGTAATCCCGCGCCTTTGGGAGGCTGTGATGAGTGGATTGCCTGAGCCCACAGGTTCGAGACCCGCCTGGGCAACTTGACGAGACCTCATCTCTACAATAAATCAAAAAAATGAGCTGGGCACGGTAGCGCGCGCCTGTAGTTTCAGCTACTTGGAAGGCTGAGGTGGAAGGATCGCGGGAGCCCAGCAGGTCGAGGCTGCGGTGGCCGGGAGTGGCCACTGCACTCCAGTCTGGGCGACAGAGTGAGACTCCAACTCAAAAAAACAAACAAACAATAAAAAAACCTGGCCCTTTGGCCAAGCATGGTGGCTCACACCTATAATCACAGCACTTTGGGAGGCCGAGGCAAGAGGACTGCTTGAGCCCAGTTGGAGAACAGGCTGGGTAACACAACAAGACCATGTCTCTACAAAAAACAGAAAAATTAGCTGGCATAGTACCACATGGCTGTGGTCCCAGCTACTCAGGAGGCTGAGGTGGAAGGATCACCTAAGCCCTGAAGGTCGAGGCTGTGGTGAGCCATAATTGTGCCACTGCCCTCCAGTCTGGGTGACTGAGACCCTGATTCAAACAAAACAAAACACCTGGGCCTCTGGCTCCTCTCGAAAAAAATGGAACATCTGAAAACCAGGGGCTGGCATTTCTGCACAGAGGCCCTCAGTTGACCTTGAACAGGAGCCTTTCCTGTTTAGACGGGTCACTGCCCTACAGTGCTCAAGGGCAGATTCATGTATGGTACTGCCTGGTTCAGACATAGGTGAGTGGGAGCCCCTGGCCATGGGTGCACCTGGAACCACTGAAACAGCACCCAAGACGAGGTATCAATCCTCACTCCGCCATCCTGTGTGTAATTGTCACTTAGGGCAGTAACGGCCTCCTAAGGGTCTGCTAGTAACACCGTCCCACCTTTTGGGTCTACAGTGCTGCACAGCTAAGTTCCTTCGGGGGGGGGTCTCATAAGCAGTGAACATGCAACTCCCGGCGGCGCCAGGGGAAGGCCTCTGGAGAGCCCACTCACAGACCACTCACTCACCCGCTGGTAGTTCTGCTCCTTCTGGATCTGTTCCACTTGTTCCACCAGCTGTCGCACTCGTAGCTGCAACTCACTCAACTTGTCTTTGGCCGCAATTTCCGCATAGTCGTTGGCATGTTCACCCACCTGGATGTCCAGGTGAACTCTCTGAGGACAGACAAGGGAAACAAGTGGAGTTGGGCAGCTCGCTCCATCTTCCCACCAGAGACTGCAGCTGATGCCCTCCTTCCCTCTTTTGGTCCTTCAGCCAACAGACTATACCTCCTCAGCGTCTGGCCCTCTGGGCACACAGCAAAAACAGTAAGTCTGGGCGAATGCCTTGGCCAAGGCCATACAAAAAGCTCAGCCACTGGGCCCTGGGTGCTCACTGCAAACCCCGTCCCCTCAGGCGACACCAAATCTGACGTACTCATCTCCCACCGCAGGACCACGAGTCCCCAGTACCGACCAAGCGTTGGAGGCTGAAAGGTGCAAGTCCCACATGGTGTCACTTACCAGCATGCCTCCTGCAAAGAGAGAGAACTTGGTGGAATTGGAATGAAGACAGATCTGGTGCTCGCCAGGGGTATGGGAGGTAAATGTGAACCTGCCCTCAGAGCCATACTGCCGGGCCAAGATGACCTGGAGGAAGAGAAGGCATTTAGTTGGTGTCACAGTAGGGATGGGGCTGGAAGGAAACGGTGCTTAGGGCAGCTTAGTACCACAAAAGCTAAGGAACAGAGCCTCAGGCACTATACACCACTGAAAGACCCAAAGTCACCTGGAATTGAAAAGGGCTTTCCTTTATTCATAACTCATGTTCATTCAACATTTTTTTTTTTTTTT